AAAGGCTGATTCGGGCTCGGGTTGGCCCAGAGGAAGGGGCAGCTTCAGGGGAGGAAGGTTCGGGAGCCAGTGGGCCTTGGGGGAGAGAGAATGGGACGGCACCTGAGGGAGAGAGACAGCCACCAGAGGGAGAGTTGGAAAGGGGTAAAGAGACAGTAGGGGAGACATGTGGGGGAGGACAGCCCAAGGAGCAAGAGGAAGAGGAGGAGGAGCAAGAGGACCAAGATGAAGAGAATGTTCCTTTCAAACCGTTTGTCCTGCCAGGTAAGAGCCGGCCTCACAGAAAGGCCGACTGGGATTTTGTTTTAATACTTGGATGTGTTTCCCATTATTATGCTATAAAGGAAATCATTTTAAATGTGAGTTTATCCGCCTAACGTTAGATTGAATCTCAGGTATTGCATATGTTCAATACACAGTCAAATATATGCACCACCACCACACACCATCTTCACGGCAATTCACATCCAGCCGCAAAACAAGATTCTTCTTAAAAGTTCAATATATCTAAAAATTTAGGGCAAAGTGGTCCTGACACAGAAGTCAACTTTTTTGCTAAAAAAACATGTCTATATGGTAAGACTGAACTACGACACTTGAGCTAGTCAGTCTTATCAAATATGTCTTTTGGAAAAGCAAGAGACAAAACTTACTCTCAAAGTATCTGAAATGCACATGTAGGCCATACTGCGTCAAAGAAATACTAAAAAACACACACTTTTTGCTTTTCGCAATAACTAGAGTTTTACCCACTATGATGTTAATATTCATTACATATTTAAAACTCAGGAAACACAGAAAAAGATTAATCCTGAAGCTCGATCATGTACCTGGCCACAGGATGCCATTTTTTGCCATCCACAGCCAATTAAATCTTCCTCTCCACAGAAAATGCAGAGATGAGAGACTGTGTCGATCTTCTAAAAGGCTTTTTCTGTCGTTGGAATCAGCCAGAACTTCCTGCTTTGATAAATAATAATATAATTATTCATCAAGGCACTGTAGAGATAATCCTTTACAGTATTTGATAGCTGATGGAGTTAGTTAAAAGGAGATGACACGAGAAGTCGCGGACACATCCAGGCTGTGCCAGTGAATAATTTAAGGGTTCAGATTAAACTGTAAGGACGCCTCTGGGCAAACTGGTGGGCGTGTGTGTGTTTCACCTTGTTTGTGCATTTCTGAGTGTTTTCATCATGTTCTCAGATGGGTGGTGTGTGCGTCTGAAGTGGCTGCTCTCCTGGCCTGTGAGCGTCCTGCTTTACTGCACCATCCCTGACTGTAACCTGCCGCGGTGGGAGCGCTGGTACCTGCTCACCTTCCTGTCCTCCACACTCTGGATAGCCTTCTTCTCCTACCTCATGGTCTGGATGGTATGATGCACATTCACACACACACACACATTTGGTTTAAACACACACGTACACACACAGGCGCATGACCATTTTTCCTCTCTTAAGGTGACAATAATCAGCTATACATTTGGAATCCCAGATGTGATCATGGGCATCACTTTCCTGGCTGCTGGCACGAGTGTCCCTGACTGCATGGCCAGTCTCATTGTCGCCCGACAAGGTGTGTATTTGTGTGTTTAATATTTAATGAATGAAAGGAAAATGAAGATGTGAACATATGATGTTGTTATGCTGCAGGGATGGGCGACATGGCTGTGTCCAACTCCATTGGCAGTAATATCTTTGATGTGCTGCTGGGTCTGGGCTTTCCCTGGGCGCTGAGGACTCTTATAGTCAGCTATGGATCAGTGGTAACATCAGCTGTTCTCTGTACCTCAGTTTCAGTTTTACTTTTGATATGTAAGCTAGCATAGCTTCAATATTACCATGAAATGTGTTTGACGAGACAAAAAAAAGTCGCTCGGCACCTGAAGAAAACTTTTGTAAGTACCTTACACGATATTCAAGGCACCTTTAAAACTTACATTTGTAATTGGACAATATTTATAGAACTACTGAATTACTCTTTCATTGTTAACTACCATTTCTTTTGATTTGTAACTGATTTGTAATGAAGAAGTAATTCAAAGCTGCTATAACTAGTATTTGAAGGTTACATCAGTGTTAAAATGTGAAGATTATGCTCATCCAGATCACTGTTTAGCTCTGCAGTCTTATTGTTTTGATTCACTGTTACTTCTCTCAAAACACTGCCTTTAGCGGTGAAAGCAGCTGTCGCTACAGCCCTCTGTAAACTGTTTGTTGAGGACCAGTAGCAGACACACACAGCTAATGTGTGTGTAAGGCAATGCACCAGAACCAGATATTTATTCAAGGAGTTGCAAGAGACCAAAAACTTTTTTCTGAGGTCATGGGCTCTCTTCATCCTTTCTTTAAGCTTTGTTCTGATTGGATGCTCCTCACAAACAAAAGGTTTGAACAGCAGGTAGGCGGGGTTCCTGTGCTTGTGCTTGTGCCAGAGTTCTCTGAAACTACCAATTGTAAAGGATCTCTCTTGGCATCATACATTGTGTTTTTGTTTTATTTAATTGCAGTCTGAAGCCTGAGCGTTTGGCTCACAGGGATTACCTGTACAGGTGCTGATCTCTTTATTTGAAATGCTGTCCAGAGGAACGGTAAATAAATGACAGGGAGAAAGAATAATCATACAAAATCCCTTTTAAACAGTGTGAGTTTCTTTCATTTAAAAATGAAAAAAAAAAAAGCCCCAAAATTAAAAATCATTGGCCAAAACCAAAATTTGACTGTGAACATGTTGCAAGTGTTTTAAAACAGCGCGTTACACACTTCACATTGTGTGTCCTGTCAGGTGACGATAAACAGCAAAGGCCTGGTGTACTCAGTGATTCTGCTTCTGGCCTCAGTCACGCTTACTGTGAGTAGCTCATCTCCTGATGTTATAAAGCACAGATCAAATAGTGAGATTGTGTACAAAAACAAACAAACCACCCATCACTGTCTGAGACCATTTTCACTAACATATTTCGTGATTACACAACAAAACAAAAAGCACTTATTTAATTTTTCCCCGTGTGCCTCTTTCTGTCCGTAACTCCTCAGGTCCTCTGTGTCCATATGAACCACTGGAGGCTGGACCGCAGGCTGGGAGTCTGCCTCCTGCTGCTGTACGCTGTCTTCCTGCTCTGCTCCGTCGGTTTCGAACAGCTTTAGATGACACTCCCGTTACACGCAAACAAACGGCCCTCCTCCCCTGCTGCCATTATTAATGAAAAACGTACGGAGAGATGATTTATGGTTTCATTTCAAAGTGGCTTTCCACAATAGATAGTCGTTACTATGACACCGGCTGCCTACAAGCGAAATTGTTTACCTTTGATAAATGAGTCTTTTACAGAGTTTTGTACTGTAGCACTTCCAACCCGATGATAATGCACTGTCTCACAAGAAATTTATAAAATATGGAATTTGTATTCTGAAACCTAAAATATTATATAAGAACCCCAAAGTGTGTTGGTTTACTTATTATTACTGCCACAAGTAACCTCAACGAGCAGATGATTTCACATGTAAGTGTATATGGTTGCTTCTCGGTTTGTCCACTTATTTCATGTAAAGTTTTGTGTTTTCGTCAAGCCTTTGTATCTGTAGCTGTAAAAATAGCATAGCATGGCTAATCACGCTCCAGATATTTGCACTAAGCCACTGTTGTCTTGGCTTTGTATACAAATGTAGGCCCCCCTCCCCCCTGCTAAAAGCTTCTCAACACAAAGGTTGTTTTAATTTTTCCTGAAACAACAATGAATATATTCTGTAAGATGTTTATAAATGTCTGTCTGGAGAGGGTCCTGAAGTGTATGTCTTTGAGTTACGAGTGCAATAAAAATCTTTGTTCTGTGATGTTTGTCTTCTGAGGCTCGAAATTCTTAATCACACTTTTAATATTTAACGGCACTGTGAAATTTGTTGCGAAAAAGATTAAAACATCTCAGAAGAGTTAAACCAAAGAGGACTAAATTTAAACTTGTTTTGAATGGACCCGAAGAAGCAGGAAAACCTACAGTAGTTCTCAGACATTTTCTGGCATTTCTCCACACCTTAATTTTTACAAATCATTCATTTCTATTAATTTACCCAGCTCTTGATCGGTGCAACATCATCAGCAAACTTTGGTTGTTTATTTTTTCTAATACTTTTATTCACCAAGATGGCAAACAGGCCAGATGGGCTACCCACAGCCATGGTCAAAGGTGGAGGCTGAAATTGGTTTTTGGGACATGGAAACTAATTTAACTTTGTCCTGTCAGCAGTTTAGCTGCTAAAGCAGATGACAGAAGTGATGTATGTAAACGCTGTTGCTACTTTAACACAGTGGCACTCTCGTTTTAGAATGGATACCGAAGCTAGGTTAAAAACAGTCAGGGGTGTTTACCTGCTGCAGTTCAGCACCATGGACAGTTCCACAACCGTCGGCTAATTTTAATGATAGGGAAAATGCTAAAAATATGCAATATGATTTCAATAAAGAAAAAGGTAAAGAAGCAGTGTTATGGAGGTTTGTGACAGCATGCATAAGCTCAAATGCACTGAACAGGCAAACATCCAGTCTGACTTTGCTACTTCAGATTTGTCACCTGCAAATCCATGATGTTATTCTCCCGTTTGATAACATCTAAAAGGTGCTCTACTGGATTGCGATTGTAATGAGTGGTTGAGTTATTGCTGGCTTCCTATCACATTGAAGCAGTCTCCTCTGACCTCAGACATCAACAAGGCAATTTCTCCAGAGAATATGCTCAGCCTGGTCTTTTTGCAGTGCTTTTTAAGATTATTCTTTGGAAACCCAAGAGATGGTTGTGTGGGAAAATCCCAGTACATTTGGTGCCACATTCACAATCACTGGAATTGTCTTTTCCAAGTGGCACTGACCTGTCTAAATTCAGTGAGTTGCTGCCATTTGGTTAAGTAAGCAGATCATTTTGTTAACAAGCAGTTGAATAGTCGTCCATAATCATAATTAAGGAAGGAATAATTCAGGAAAAGACAAAAATGAAATAACAATGAACACATTATTAAAGGTGATATTTTTCATTCAGGCTAAATTGGCTTCAATACCAAAGAAATGTAAAAATAAAAATAGTACAACAAAGTACATCATTATACAAATACTCATAATGGAGGTTTGACATATCAGAATAATCAAATAAATCCAAACATGTCACAGTCATAAAAAAAATAGAAAAAGGCAAATACAGTACAGAGAATGCATTAGGAGCTAGATATTGAAGTGTTTGCTATGCTGTAGAGTTTACAAAATTCTACTAGAAAACTCCCAATACCAATGGAATATCAGATAATACAAAATGAAAAAATAAAATAAAATACAAACAATACAATGTCAACAACAACAAAAAAAATAAAGAGTGTGACATGAGAGAGTGTGTGTGCGTTCATACGGGTGCAATTTGCATGCAAATCTGCCTCAGTGTGACAAATGATGAAAGCAGCTACAGTTTGTGAATGAGTGTGTGCCACTGAATCAACAGAAATGGAGTGTGAAAGGATGATGTCACTGCTAGATGAAGTTTACAAAGCAAGCAAAATAACAGCTGTGAGAACAGGATGCTACTTTATCCTAATTAGTTTCATGTTTCTGACGTCCCGGCAAAATCAGGTTTTCTGTCTGATGGAGAAAGATGAAAAAAAAAGGGGGGGAAAGGCTTTTGTTTGATGAGCTCAGCCTACAGCATATGGTCTTTATGTAGTGTTTGGTTGAAGTAATGGAGTGGAGGTGAAAGGTAGCAAATACAAAAACTTTTGTGCAGACTCAAATGAGCGAGTGATGAGCTGCTGTCGTGTGATGGCGGACCTTGGCACTGACCGGGTCCCTCTCTGGAAACTTCCTCAAAGGATAAATACTCCGATGGATCAGACAAAAGCACACATGCCACTACAAAAGCCCACTAGTAACCAGAACAATAACAATAATGATAATAATAACAATAAGAAGAAGAAGAAGAAGAAGAAGAAGAAGAATACTCAACCGTTTACTGTATGTTGTGACATTTTCCTTTTGCTCCTTTCGGGGAATAAAAACAGATCATTCAGCAGAAGAAGAACTGTGGTGGGTCGACACTGCACACTGTGTCTTTGAGTGTGAGGGGTGCAGGTTGTTAGCTGTGGTGCTAATCCGTTTTCTCCTAGGAGCTCCCATGGAGACAGCAGCTACTATGGTTACTGTATGCGCTGTGTCTCTGGTATCTGGTGTGTAACAGTCCAGGAGAAAGTGTGTGTCCATGCTGTTTGACGGCAGCCCTCGGGGACTCTGCAGGCAGGTTGGTAGTGACGGTTTGATCCCCGTGGTTGCTGATCTGAGGTCTGTTTTGGCTCTGTTCCCCCCTCCCCCTTTGGCCGCTGAAGATATGAAAGACTTCTAAAGCTGATCTGCAATCCGGCTCAGCTACATCAGGACCGAGCCTCGAGCTCCGGACTGAGAGGAGGTCTGACGTTTCAATTCGGGGTGGGATCCTGGTGCCTGAAGGGGGTGGAGTCCACCACTGTGTTGTCACTCAGGGGCGGAGCTCTGGTTTTGCTGGTATATGGAGGCTTTGTCCTTCAGCAGAGCCAGGCACAGGTGGCAGCTCCAGCTCCCTGGAAAACAGAAGCAAAGTGAGACAAGGCTCGAAGTGATGGAATCTCGGAGTAACTTGGCAGATACCAGAAGGCCACTAGCTGGTGTATTGGTCACATTTTTACAGCTCTCTCAGTTGTATCTAACAACTTCCTCTGAGTTTGCTACCCTCTGCTGTAAAGTGTCTGCTTACCCTCTGGTGGTTCAGTCATGGGTGGAGTTAGACAGTACATGTGGTAGCCTCGATCACAGTCATCACAGAACAGCAGCTGGTCCTACAAATACACAAAATTTCAATTTACTGATGAAACGCTCACCGCTCACGCCTTTCACTCTCCTAACCCTCGGCATTTAATAATTAGTTATTATTATTCATCTCTGGCTCTTCCACCGTGTGTCTTTTATCCCATGTTCCTCCCCTCACACCCAAATAGGCGATGGCTGCTCCTTCTGAGCCTGGTTCCGCTGGAGATTTCTTTCTATTAAAAGGAAGTTTCTCCTACCCACTGTCACCAAAGTGCTTGCTCATAGGGGGCTGTCTGATTGTTGGGGTATTTCCTGTATTACTCATGGGCTTTACCTTACATTGTAAGGAAGAGACACTGTATGAAAACTGAATTGAAGTAAGGAGGAGCAAAAGGACAGTTACTCTCAGAAACAGTCTCAATTTCTGTTTGTCAAAATAAGCTAAAATTAATTAATTAATTAATTAATTAATTAATTAATTAATTAACAGACTTAAAAAAAATACTGGTGACCACCAGTGCTACCACTCAGAGGGTTAGGGTAACCCTTCCTAGTAGATAAACCTATGGTATCAATTTAAAAATCCTGCATTACATTGTTCTTGCTATCACATTAACAAGATTTTCAGGAAACTTGACCTCACCAGGATTTCAACTGATCCGAGATTTTTAATAGCCAGCCCTAAGGTATCAGTTCGAAGCTCGTACATCACCTTGTTGAGTTATCGCATTCACAAGAAGAATATCCGATATCATTTTTATATGATTTTCTCTTTAATTGAACTATGAAATTCCCCACTCGTAGGACTAATAAAGGTATTTTATCTTATCTTATTATCCAATTTTTAAAAATCTGATATCCAAAGATACTGTTTATTTGGCCCAGTATGTTATGCTGGTGTCAAGACAGCAGTTCATCAATAAAGAAAATAAAGTTAATCACACCTACATGAGCCACTATAACAACTAATATGCCTTTGTTGTCCCTCTCAAACTCATTAAACACACTAAAAACAGAGTCGGGGGGACTGCAAGTCAACAAGCTGAAACTGAGAAGTGATGTTGCACTGTGTCTGTCCCACAGCTGTGACGCACAGAGTGGATGTTTGCTCATTAAAACAAAACGATTTTTAAAATTAGAAAGTTTAAGTCAAATAATATACCTTTAAAATTTTCTACCATATTCTTAGTAAATCTTGCAGTGCATAGTAAATAAATATCTTTTTACAATTCTGGTAAAAGCAGCCAAAAAGGCAGTCAAGAGATGCTGGCTCCTTCCCGTGCCTCCCACTATATCAGAGTAGAAAGACATTGTGAATGAGATTTATGTAATGGAAGCTATTATGTTTTCAATAAGTCTTAAAAAAAAAAAAAAAAAAAAAAAAGAGCATTTTTGGCAAATTATGGAGCAAGTGGGTCAGTTTTATTAAGCCTCTGCACCCAGACTTTGTTGAAATTTCTCCTGTTTAGAAACTTAGAGTGCCTGTGAGTGCCTTATCCCCCTTTAAACCCTGTGACGGATGTTTTTCCTTTGCTCCCCACTTGTTCTTTGTTCTCAAAACGTAAAAAGATAAAAGTGGTTTATATTTGGACATCCTGTTATTGACACACTATGTTGTACTCCACTTCTCGAAAATAAAGAATTTCAAAAAAAAAAAAAGACAGTCTTATGTGGATATGGTCAAAAAGAGAAGAAAGGGGTCACAGGCAGTTTTTTTTAACTTGTTACCACTACAGATTAAGGTTTTGGGGAACATTAAAAAAATAAATAAATAAAAATAAATAAATAAATAAAAAATTTTTTTTTAAAAAGCTCACATCATTCTCGGAGGTGCCACAAACATTGCAGCATTTGCACTCGATGCACTGCCAGCGATAGGTCTTCACCGCAGCCATCATCACTGGTGTGAACTGCAGGCACGTTGGGTGGCCTACGCAAAGGAGACAAAAAAAACCCAAAACACACACACAAAACAGGTGAACAACAATGAAAACTGTCAGGAAGTAGTGTGGAAAGACCTGCAGGCATCATGATACAGAACATTTTAAGGTTTAAATGGTTGTCTCAAGAAAGACCAATTACACCAAACAGCAGATAAATATCTGCTTTTAACTATATGTGTGATAACCAAGCCTAAAGGGACACAATGCGTTCATACCTGAGCGACCGCAGTCTGAACAGGATACCAACTCTTCTGATTGGCCGGTCTTCTGGTTTAGGGTGGAATCTCCCAGACAGAAGTCACAGTAATCATTGGGCAGTGCCAGCCCATTGGGACCCTTCTTAGTAGCTGTGCAGGAAATAAGTGAAGAAACTATAAGAATCTGAACGTATGAAGGAAAGAGAACACTGCGCTCTTCTCCCAGGTAAGCAGATCAGCATATACAGCTTAAAAATGAAAGTTCCACATTTTCCAAGTACAAACCTGTTTGTAGCAGGCCTTCCAAAAATAACATTCATAATGATGATGCATTGAATTATGATTGAAACTTAAGTATGAGTGACAACTCACAAAACGCACTTGTTTTTATGTATATGATAACACGATTTCGCGTGCACAAAGGATTTTTTTTTTTTTTTAAAAAGCAAGACCATGGATATGTTTGGGGGTTTAAAAAAAACAGACAAAGGAAAAAATAAATATGGATGATATGCTTTAAAAAAAAAAAAAAAAAAGGGGGGGGGGGAGCCAAAAGTCCCAACTGTGCAAGCATGTTTCAATCAGGAATGCCTCCAAATTTGGGATCTGAAATAATGAAAATCTAAAAATGAAAAGAGCAAGAAAAATTTAAAAAAAAAAAGAATGAGAGAGAGACTTCCCTTGAACAAACACACACATGCTACACAGCATGCAACCAAACCTCCCTCCCCTCTTTCTCTCCATCTCTCTCTCTCTCAGCACTAGAGAGTGACTCACTCTTCTGCTCCTCAGGCTGGCGAGGAGTGGGTGGTGCCTCGATCTCCTCGCGGTCCTCGCCCTCCTCCTCTGCCAGGTGAGAGTGTGTATAGTGGTAGCTCAGGCCAGGACGGTTCTTGTAGCGCTTCCCACAAACTGACACACACACACACGTTCATACAAAAGTGTTATAGTTGTGGCAGCGAATTTTAACTACCGTCCAAAAAGGCCCAAGTTGGAAACAAGGTGGGCGTGCACCTTTCACCACCTCAAAACCAAGTAAAAGAAAAAACATTAAAAAAAACTAACTTCATTTCATATGATTAATTGTTGACGGACACGCTAGTAGCAGACTCATACAGCGAAGGAGAGCATTTGCACAGTGAGCTGGGGCCAACAGGAAGTTACAGAGCACACGAAGCAGCATCTCAGGGATAAGAGAGAGAAAAGAAAAAAAAGACAACGCATCCAGGCGAGCAACTTTTTCAACTTCTGCGTCGTCAAACTTTAGTTCCAGGTGGGATCTTTCAGATGACTCCATGCATGGCACAAGGCTCATCTTTGTCTTTTAAGAGGGGAAAAGCAAAAGCCTCTCTTGCTGACATGCATGGCGCACACAAACACGTTACACAGAAAGCTAATACTCACTGTCGCAGGCGTAAGGTTTATCCCTTTCCTCCAGCGCTGCAGCTGCGGCCTCCGTTTTCTTCTTGCCATTCTTGTCGCTGCGGCCCTGAACAACAATTTGCACAGTTGAGACCAACAAACAGACCAACTTAAACAACACAACTTACTTTGCATACATCACCTTTAACGGTTTTGAAAAACAATGAGAAGTAAGTGCATTTCTGACAATTGGTACAGATCAAAATGTTTTGGGAAATGAAAATGAATTGAACATTTTGTGAAATTGGTTCACTGGAGAAATCAAAATTACAAAAATAAACTCTGACACAGGAGAACCAGCTGAACAAGAAAAGCCCCTTTCAGATAAATATGCCTTTCGATAAGAGTGTCAGCTTCATGTATCAAAAGCACAATGGCCAACCGTATCTGTGTCTGAATGACAGAACAGTGTCAGTCAATCAGACTAAAGAAGCCAGTGATGTTTCATATTGTATCTCTGAAGAGATCAAACAATATCCATGGAAAAGAAGTGCGTTTAAGAAAAACGTTAGATTGAGAACTATAAGCATTGCAACTTAAGTAGTAACTGTAAGCGCTGTTGTTGTAAGTTGTTTTAATTCAGTTATCTATCAACTATCACTGTTTTAATTATGTAAGACAAATGATGAGCTGATTAATCAAATTAACTGTATTATTAAAAATGACTACATTGAAAACACATTACGCTGACTGCAAATAAGACAAAGGATGACTTGAATTATCAGCAGCTCATCTGGTCACGTTTTTCTTTTTGTTATTGTAAAGATTTCTTTATTTCCTGTCAGAAAGATGTAACATCAAATGTCGGCCAAGTTAATATTTTAAACATATCAGTTTAGACTCACAGTTGGCAATCCATCAGTGAAGAAACAGAACACTAACCTTGGACTTGCTCTTCCCTCGCCTCTTGGGGGTCTCATCCTCAAAGTCTTCGTCATCCAGATCATCCAGGTAGTCATCATGGTCCAGCACTCTCTACCATAAAAATAACAGTCTAATTGCTTCTGCTTGTTAAAAAAAAAAAAAAAATCATTTGTGCCAAAGCATCAGCATCGAGTCAGCTTTGGGTCTGACCTTACGGATGCGCCCAGAGGATGTGGTGGTCGTTGATGTCACAGGAGGCTCCACGGTAGCCGGATCATCCTCAGGGCCTCGAACATCTGCCACACCGCTCCTCCTTTCAAGAGGCTCTCCTTTCAGCAGGGCCTCCAAACTGCTGCCATCCACTGCTCCCAAGGCATCGCGCTTCAGACCCAGCTCCAAGTCTGCTACACAAACAAAGCAGAACAAAAATGCATACAACCACTACAAGTGTAACAGATAAACCAGTGTATAGAAGAAAGAAAAAAAAAGAAAATAATTAAACTTATGGAATGTTTATTTAAATGGAAAAGTTGTTTCATCAGAGGTGGTACCTGGTTTGATTGGGGGAAAGGCCAGACGGGGATCCTCAGGGGGATGAGAACGCCGTTTCTTTCTCCAGCGACGGGCTGGGTAGGTGTAGAGCTGCCCTGGAGCTACGCCTGATGTGACAGAGAAACACCAAAAGCTGAAGTATGTTTTAGTGAGATGACATGCTACACCCTGTATATCAGTTACAGAGATCATCTAAGGAGCTTGGAAAGAAAAGTGACTGGACTTCATCAACCTCTAATCCAAGAAGCTTCTTCAGTTCTTTGGTTCTTCAGAAGCTTCTCGGATAAGAGGTGAAATGTCTTCAAGAAACGTAAGGTCGTCCAGTCGCTTTGCTTTCCAAGCTCCTTGGATTACTATGACCTAGATGACTGAGAACCTACAAATACTTAAAGAAATCATCCAACACTACTTCGATACCTGCACTTCGGTGTCTCTTCTCCATCCAGATGTAACAGTTTGACTGGGCTACACCAGTCTGAGAGTCCAGGAAAGGCATAAGGATGCTGCGCTCGGCACACAGACGAGCATTATAATTATGACACTGCTCCATGGCATCTCTGTAATACTGCTCTCCAAGCCTGAAAAGTGGAAGTTGAACACTAACAGGTCAAATAACACAAATCAGAACAGACTATTAATAATCAACTGCTAATTAAACAAAGTTCAAATAATCAACACTGAAGAGATAAGTAAAAATGTATCAGCAGCACCAGCAGTCCTTAAAATGTCTGTTTAACTGTCTCATTACATTTGTTGTCACAAATGCTTTCGTGGTTTCCCTCCTTGGCTTGCTTTAGCTCAGATATCCCTGCACAGTCAATGGGTGTATCTCTAGCTAAAATTATCCAGAGCTCAGAGCCAGGCACAAGCTAGCAGCCTCAGTATGAGCAAAAGATCAATGCAGTTATGTGAAAAATTATGCAAGCAAGTGAAAAAGATATAAGAGTTATCTGGTTAAGTTATTAACATACTGCAAACAACACACAGCAGAGCATTTTATTTTCAGTAATTTAAGTGAGAGAAGATCCTCTAATTAACTTCAACCTGGGGGACATTTTCAAGTTTAATCATCTCTTTATTATGAAAATAATTTGCATTGAAAAAAAGGTTCAGTTTGATTAATATATCCTGAGTTATAGTTCTTAGAGAAAAAAAGGAAATGGTATTGGCAGGTCGCAGTTAAGGGAAAAATCAGCCAAGAAAATTGCAATCAGTGCTTCTCTAGTACTAAACCTTTTTTTCAGCTGCTATTTTTGTTACTTATCTGCCAAGCAAATTTTAGCTGGGTTTAACAGCATGACTATGCTCTGTAAAGAGTCGAGATAAAGTGAATTAAGACACATAAAAGCTTATTTTCACTTTAAAACAGTCTTTTTTGAATGACATGCAGCTGATACATGACTGTGCTATCACACAAACCGGCCTTGCTTGAGCTGCACAACAAAGGAGCTGTGAAATTACTGCAAACGGCACTACCGAACAACCTACTGCGACTTTGCTCGCATATTTCACCACAAACGTCTCTTCTACTGCTTTGCAATTACATCACAATTTAACTATTTTAACAGAGTAGTCAATGTCGATGTATCTAAAATGAATAATTAAGGGTTACTGCTCTCCTCATAAATCCACTATTAATTATGTTGAATCACAACAGTAAAACGCTGATATTTTCTGTCTGGGGTCAATGTATTTAATTATTTACTTACGGGCGACACCAAACCAAGCCTAGTTTCATTTGAGCACTCAGCATTATCAGTAACGGTGGAGGGTGTCAGAACAAAAGGTTGATTGTTAGCGACTCTCGTCACAACAAAGCGCCCGCCAACCTGACAGGTTAAAGGAAAATTAACCCTCTTTCATCTGCGTGCGACTGGCTACAAACAGTTTAAAGCTTTTACACGTAAAACCACTTTAAGTACAATTAAGACTTGCTGAATTAGGCTTAAACTGAGGCTGAAATGCAGCTCCATAGCAGGGTTGATTCCCTTATGTTTCCCCAAAGCTAACAAGCTAACAGTAGCACGGAGGATAACGTTATCCTCTTGGGACAATTATCGTATTCAATACTGAAGATGCGATGTGCAATTTTTCTGCGCCCTGCCTTTAAAACGATGAATAATTAACTAAAAAGGCGCCTCTGTGCGGCTGCTAGTTTAACTCTCACAATAAATAAAGGTAAACTTACACTTTAACAACACTGTCGACGGCCGCCGCCATATTTGCTTATTGCGGTTGTGTGATGTGCCACTGCGCCTGCGCACAGATTCTGGAAACCGTTATTGCCTCCACCTGGTGAAAAACACGAAATGCGCATTTTACAACAAACTTCTCCGCACTTCGGTTCCGCTACACAACCATATTCGGGTAAGAGGAGTCATTTTTACTTAAGGTGACTTATAGACGAAAGAATATGAAACATGAGCAAAAATCTGATGCATAAAATACTAATAAGTTTAGAAAATGTGCCATGTGTTGAAATTGTGTGTCTCTCGACGTTTGTTTGGTTTGGGGGGGGGGTTGGTTTTAGTTTTGTTTTTTTTGTTTTTTTACTACAACCAAAGTTCAAATTTGTCAACAGAACAAGCATTTATATTTACTGTGAGACAGGGTTGTCTACATCATTTATTTTCAAAAGCTTCTATGCCAAGCAAGCCAACATAACAATGCACACCTGAGTTAATGTGTGCTCAAAATAACTTGCATTTTTCGACATTTGTAGCATCTGATTATAGCCCCCCCCCCAAAAAAATTTTTTCTTTTTAACCTACTATCATATGCTTTGCCTCAGTGGCCTTATCAAACAGTCCATGGACTGTTTGATAAGGCCCTAGACCGTTTGTTGCAACAAACGGTTGTGGAAAATTTAACAATAACCTGCAACACATCCAGCGAGCTTGATTTGAAGTGGGTTTAATAAATACATCGCAATGTG